AATAACTTAACGGATTAACAAGTCTGTCGACTTTTTGCTCGTTTGCATAGTGTGAAAATCACATATCAATTCACGCTTTCTTCTCAAAAAAAGTAACGATCGTGATATGTGATTTTTAAATATCACTGAAAAAATCACAGTTCGTGAAATATCGCTCATCTCTAACGCTAACACTCCGTCTGTCAGACGGCATCGACAGTTTGAACTAAAATATTAGGAAAACTACACACTTTCGCAAATTGCCCTGCCGGCCTTTAACTTGTTTTGATACGTATTGAAATTACATAGCTGGATGATAATTAGAAGCGGAGAGGGGGGAGATGTCATATGTCCAGCTAATACGTTACGTCTGTGAGACGGGGTGTTGGTACTTAAGGGTTAATAACCGTAATTCTTATCCGTTTACCGTTTATTGGTAATGTACAGGGTGGGTCAAATTCGACGCTTTTAAATGGAAACACCCTTTTCTATAGGAGATAGTCAAAAACTAATATCGGTGTCTGGAGCTCAATTTTTGTCAAAAACATGATAGTGAAAACCGCATATCGATATCTGTTACCGTTTCGGAGTTACGGGGTGTTTTTCAAAAATATGCATTTTTAATAAATCGCTGTAACTTTTTTGCTATGGAAAATTTTGTATTTTTATGAAAACATTTCCAAAGTACCTTTTTACGTAGAATTTAATGGTTTAAGTATAATTTTTTTTAAAATTAATGATTTAAGAATTATTAACAGAAAATTTGATTTTTTATATGGGACACCCTGTATATTTTAAGTTTATTGAAAATAATTTAAAATTACCTTTACAAAAATATAACACACTTGATATTTTGCTCGATTCCTCTTCGAGGTATAAAGTATATAAAAATTTGCCCGCTTCAAATGAGTAGGCTTTGAAAGGCACCGGCTATAATGCAAAAAATTCAAGCTGTGAGCATCAATTAAAACGAAAATAATATTTGTTATGAGAGATGCAGAATTTTATGACAATTTAAAATATATTTAACCAACATCAACACATTTAAACTATATCTAATAACAATAAATATAAATAGCAAACCAAGTCATGAGATTTTGCTACAGGTGTTCGACATATCGACCGTCTTCTGTTATGGACAGACGGGGCAGTTTTTGAACATTTCTCGCGGAATTCATAAACTCAGTAGGGGTGAAAGATACCCTCTCATAACTGCTAAGTATTTCTAATTCTTGTCTAGATTATACGGAATAAGGAACCTTTATTCTTCCGCAAATATATCCATAGGATTAGATCCATGGGCACTAAGTCAGGCGGCCTCGACGGCCAACGGCTGAGTCTTGGTTAGTTATTCAATTATTCTTGAAATAAGCTGCAAAAATTTGCTGATAGCTTCAGCGTTCAGAGGCGGTGCGTCGTCTTGCTGGAAAAATATGTTTTCGAGTTCCATTAAGGGCATATCATCAATAAGGGGTCCAAAGCCTACTAGTTAAAAGTGGCGAACTTTTAAAAATTCTGTATTTCGAAGGGGATTATAACAAAATATCAAGTGTGCTATATTTTTGGAAAGGTAATTTTAAATTCTTTACAGTTAATTAAAAATATAGAGGGTGTCCCAAATAAAAAATCACTTTTTCTGTTGATAACTCTTAAATTATTAATTTTAAAGAAATTATACTTAAACCATTAAATTCTACGTAAAAAGGTGCTTTGGAAATGTTTTCATAGAAATATAAAATTTTCCACAGCAAAAAAGTTACAGCGATTTGTTAAAAATGCACATTTTTGAAAAACACCCCGTAACTCCGGAACGGTAAAAGATATTGATGTGCGGTTTTCACCATCATGTTTTTGATGAAAATTGAGCTCCAGACACCGATATTAGTTTTCGTCTATCTCCTATAGAAAAGGGTGTTTCCATTAAAAAGCGTCGAATTTGACCCACCCTGTACAGGGTGAATCAATGCTTAGAGAATTAGGATTTCTATTTCATATTTTAATATATTAGGAATATATACAAAAAATGTAGTTCAATTTTCTTTGTATAATACAAAGTGGCCCAAACTAATTTTTATATTAAATTTGATTATAAATTAAATAGAATAATATGTTTTCTATTCCAAAGATATAATTATAATGCTAAATATACTTTTGAAATGGTACATACTGTATATTAGAAGTGTGAAATAACTTTTTTTTTCAAACGTCACAAAAGTATTAATTTTTGCGACGTGATTGACAATATAAAAAAGTAATTTTTCTACGACTAGCCTAGAAAATGCAGTTTGACATACGGAAAACTCGATCTGAAATTGGCGTTTTGCAAACTGTTGTGTGTCATTTTGCACACGACATGTGCCAATTTTAACATTTTTAACCTCCAATGTTTAGCTGAAACGCCAAACGCAACGCAGCCGTCAGAAAAGTGTCATCATTACATCGCAAATTATTTCACAAAACTGGCAAAAACTGAGTGAGCCTGCTGCTAATTTGTAGTCGTAGAAAAAATAGCGTAAAAAACTCGTTCGAAAACTTCTATGTACACTCGTTCGACTTGTGGCTCTTGTCTGCGGCTCGAGCCAACAAACTGTCGAACTCGTGTGCAAAACGTCGTTTTCGAAACTCGTTGTTTAATATACCGTATGATCGAATAAAAACGGCGTCAGCGATGGCTATGAAATGAAGATCGCTGTCATTTTATATGGAAAATGTCATCGATCGTCATTTCCAAGCCAACTGGACGCCGTTTTTTTTTCGATCATTTGGTACTATTCTTTGAATAAGAAGACTAAGGAAGGAGCATAATGCTATCCATGTATTCATGCATGCTGGGCGGAAAAAGGACTCTAGGGTGGGGATCCTTGACAGTTCTGTTTGACGATTCATTTGACAAATTTGAATTTTATTTGAAATTTTGTGGATTTGTCAGTCTTTACGGAGCTTATTTTATGTTATTTATAATTTATTCTACTACTGATAGTTGTATAAAGGTAGTAAATTTAGATGGAAATTGTGGCAGAGCTTAAATTAACAGTGACACTATCGCGATTTATCGAAAAAGACTCTAAATAGTTGGTTGTGTAGCGTGCGGTAGATCTCGGCAAAAATTGAGTGAAATAATGGAACAACTTTTCGCTAGTAAGTGACTATATAATATACATACGTGTAGTAAACCGATCATTTATGAAATTCACTTAAATTAACTAAATTATATATTTTTCTTGCATTTTAGCTTTTATTTATTACTTGTCAAAGATTAGATGTCAAAAAATTTAGATACGTTAATTTGACTTACCTGCTTCAGTAGCGTATCGGATGTTTGTGGTAATAAAAACTGATTATAACTTATCTATTTTTATTAGAATTATATATTTTTATAACAATTTTAATAACTACCAACATTTATTCACAACGTAAAATAAAACAACAAATTATTGAGTCTACCCCACGTCTACCCTACATCATAGTTTTACATTTTTTTAAATAAAATTAGAACGACACTGATAAACCGGAATTTAAGTCGGCCATATTTGAGGCCCATCGCGGTGTACCTAAGATTTTTGATATGCTCCTTCCTTTAGTCTTCTTATTCAAAGCATAAACCGGAATTTAAGTCGGCCATATTTGAGTCTCATCGCGGTGGACTTAAGATTTTTGATATGCTTCTTTTTTAGTCTTCTTATTCAAAGGTACTATTTAACGCCTAAACACAAAAGTACGAAAATATATTATTAAACTGACATAAAGTGCCAAATTCAACGAGCGTAACCATAGTTTCTCGATATATAATTACATACAAGGTATTACTTTTAAATATTTTTATACTATTTGGAACGTTTAAAATTGTTTAAAAAATTATTTGTGACGTTTGAAAAAAATAGCATGTTCTATTCAGAGTAAAAATGACTTTTTGTGTCTCACCTGTATGCCAAACGTACAGTCTGGCTACAAAAAGTATCATTTTTACTCTTAATAAAACAATATACCCTATTTTCTGATTTCAAAAATAAATCACCACATGCCTCTTCTTTTGAATAATTATATGTATATAAATTTCATAACAGCAATAGAAACACTAGGGTGGGTCAAAAAAATCGACTATTATTTTTACTTTATACTCCGAAAAATAGTTGATAGACACCGCAAAAAATTTATCTCCAAGTAAGGGCTCTTAATTTTAACAAACAAACTGAATAAAATTTTCTCACAGTTATGTCAGCATGAGGTAATATTTGAGGGGTAGTTTCATCTCGTTGGAATTTGACTTTCGAAAAATCCGTTTGCCAAAAATAAGCTTTTTACGTCAAGCAGAATCGTGGTTAATCAATTACCCAACTTTTTGGAACACCCTGTATGATTTTTTTAAAAATTTCAAAATATGTTAAAAAACAAAATAAATTATGCGTGTCCAAGCTTTTTCCCGAAAGATTAACCGTTTTTTAAATAACAAATATTGTAATATGTGAGGGGCGTTTTTACCCCTTGGAATTTGAGATTCGAGAAACCCGTCCTTATCGAACCTCTACACCCCATACAGTCAATCCGTTTGCCAAAAATCAGCTTTAAACGCCAAGCAGTTTAAGCAGTATCGTGATTATTCAATGGTCATATTTTATGAAACACCCTGTATAAATTTTAAAAAAATCTTAAAATATGTAAAACAACAAAATAAAATATACGTGCTTAAGACTTTTTCCGAAAAACTCACCGGTTTTTAAACAAAAAATATTTTAATATTTGAATATATTCAATATTCATATTATAATATATTTTTATACCGAGATATGAATAATTTTTCTTTGGAAAAAAATAGAAAACTGAAAGGCGGAGGACCTTACTATTAAAATTAACAGCTCATTCTTGGAGAGAGATTTTTTTTGGCGTATCTACCAACCTATTTTTCAGATTATAAAGTGAAAAAAATAGTCGATTTTTTTGACCCACCCTATTGAACACTATTAAAAGAAGGCGACGAATGTTCGAAAACTAATCCTTTATTAATTTATTCTCAATTTCATTAGGAAAGCGGGGTTATATCCGGAATCCAGACCAAAGAGAACGGCCCCATCGAGTGGAAGAGAGAACTTCCAGTCAACTGTCAACTGAGCGTGGGACTTAAGAAAATCGTCACTCCCTTACTGGCCGGCCTTCTCGAAGCCGACCACCACAAAATCTGGAGCTTCGACCAGTTTTTCGGCGAAGTCGACGCCGTACTAGCCCGAAAAGCCGTTAACATATTTCACATCAACAAGTCCACTCTTATCAAAGTCTATATTGACCCTAAAGAGTCGTACCGTCATTTGCAAGAATACATTTTCGAACAGACGGACATCAACGAGGAAAATCAGATTTTGCTTTACAAAACCTCACTCCTGACGAATTTAGTTGAGGAGTACGTAAACGCGAGTGGTTTCCCTCAAACGGCCGAGACTGATCCCTTGTTCCTGTTCAATAAAGAGAATAACAACGTTAACATTCCTCCGTTTCAAGAACTGCCAAAATTTAACGATTTTTCCACAGTGATATCGGTGGAGAATGACGCTAGTCAGGCGAAGTTCGCTTGTAGCATCGGACACCAAGCTAAGAGACAAGTAGAACGATTCTCGCTATATAGCCAACTAATTTGTGATACTGTAGATAACTTAACGAAATATATTAATGGTAATTTGAAAGATCTCCACCAGCAGCTCCAGCACTTGTTGGAGAAATGTCAGATTTATAGGAAAACTGCTCAGATTTTCGAGATGTCGCAGAAAATTAGCAATTACAGTTTGAAATCTAATAGTGCTGCGGAGTTAGATAGTATTAGTAAGGATTTTACGACGACTGTGGCGGTGGGAGTGCATGGATTGTACAAGCAGCACAGCGTGGAGAACAATCTTAGACTACAGTGGGATACGATGAGCAGGGATTTGAAATGTCCTTCAAAGACTTTAGCGCCTGCCAGGTAAGTTTGTTAACTTTAAAACACGGAGAATAGACCGAAACAGGTTAAGGTCTAGAGATGGGGACATTCCGGGAATCTTATTTTGAGGGAATGTTCCTGGGAACGTTCCCAGGAACGTTCCCTAAATCTGGATAATGATGGGAATGGAAAAAATTGTTATGAAAAATTGGAAACTTTCCGGGAAGGTTCCCGGAAATATTCTCCAAAGCAGAAAAGTGATAAAGTTAAGAAAATATAACTTTCAAAATATATTTAATAACAACAAAATAATATATAAATAACAACAGAAGCAACACAAGTCGATAAAAGAAAACAAATTTAGGTTATGTTTATAACCTAGTTTCTCTTCTTCTTTTTATTTGTGGCGTGCCCTGTTCACAACTTTTCCAGTGTTTTGATTACTTTCCCTAAATTTAAGAAAAGTTCCCGATAAGTGGGGAATATTCCGAGGAATATTCCAACTCGGCATCAAAATACTACTTTTCCGAATTTCAGTCACTTTCCCGACCTTAGAGGAACGTTCCCGGAACATTCCCGGAACATGGGCACGTTCCCTGAGGCACTTTCCGACCTGCACATCACTATCAAGGTCGCATTGTGTCGCTTAAGTTTGGCGCGTTTCGGTTTATCTCTGCTTGTCTTGACCTATTTCGGTTTGTCCCTCGGGCGCGGGGTGATTTTTTTGACGTTTCCTGTTGGCTTTTTCAATTTCGTTTCGTTTTGAACTGTTTCCAAAACGTGGCGGTATGTGGACCCGAGGCAAAGGACTTTTTTTTCATAAATCTCAGTGAAATAAGTAAACCTAGACGTTTCGAAAATAGCTGTTGTTACCATGATATTTCGTTAATTACATCTCGTTTTATTTTGATATACAGGGTCCGGCAATAGTGCGTCGGGCATCTGTAGCTCCTAGAATAAAAAATGTGAAAATTTTGTTTAAATATATACAAGCATGTATTTCAGGAAAATTTCCAAACTTTCTGAAATATAAAATATTTTTCTTTGTTTTTTCTTTAAACATTTTTTGTATTTAAAGTATTTCAAAATTTTTAATAGTTTTGCTGATACACGCAGTATTATTACATATGGCGCATTCAATGGTAAAATACGAGAGTTTTTGTGTATCATTGGGTGGCTTTGATAAAAATTTATTGTGGAAAATGCCATATGAAATATAAAAACCGCGAACATCTGCGAAACCGTTAAAAAACTTCAAATTCTCTAAATACAAAAAATTTTCATTTTTTAATTCTCCATCTATTGAAAAAATAATACGCAGGGTGTTTCATTAAAAAAAAACGAAGGAAAATTATTTTATGTTTTAGTAAGTTTGGCGTAAAATTTTGAACATCCTCTATGATTTACGATTACCATATTTATAGTAAAGTAAGTACAGACCATCCAAAGTAAATACCTAATTTATTTTTGATCTCAGAACAGTTCTTGTATTTTTAATAATTTTTCAGAACAGCTGAAAAATACATATTTTTTATTTTTTTATTAATATCTCTGAAACTATCGAAATATATTTACTCATATCTTTTTCTCTTTACTCTTATCTATTTTCCTGAAATACATCCTAGAACATACTGTAGATTTGCACTAAAACAAAATTCCCAAGTTTTTTATTCTAGGAGCTACAGATGCCCGACGCACTATTGCCAGACCCTATATATTTTGATCTTGATTAGATAAACGCAATTTTATTAATCACGTTTAATAAAATCAATATAAAAATAAAATTAATAAATACATTGGCTGTTCCATTTAAAAAAAAAAATACAACTATAACATTTTTTATTTATTTGGGACACTCTGTATCTTGTAAAAATATTTTTAAATTGTAGCTCTAATAAGGACTATTAAATTTGTAAAAATTTAATCGTTTAGTTACAATACTCCGTGTCGTATGTGGTGAATAACCCAGTATACTTTGCAGAAGATCATTATTTTTTTTTCATTTATACGGAACACTGCAAATTAATGTTTTTTTTTATTTTTCTTATAGAGCACGCACCCAAGTAGAGCACCTCAGAGACTCTTGGCAACATCTTGTCCGAGACAGAGCTACGCGAACTCTATCATACAACGACGAGCAGTTTCACATACTGGAAAGAATCAAGATCACCCAGACCATCAATCGAGTGAAAAATCTTTTGGAAGTCGAAGTTTTCCCGCAGTACGAAGCCCTGTCGGAAAACTTCGGCGACTGGTACAAAATGGCTCAGAACGTGCATTTAAAAACAGAAATCCTGGCCTCTGATGTTGAAAAATACGAAAACAAACTGAGAGACTTCGGCGAGAAGCTCTCTATCGACAATGTCGATTTTAACGATTATATTAAGAATAACTTTGACTCTTCCAAAAAAACCAACGTGGTTAAAGGTAGGAGGAATATGAAGAGCCAAGAACTGAAAAATATACTGGAGGGTTATAAAAAAGAAAGTAATCATATTAAGGAAGTTATATTGGAAAATTCGAAGTTGATTATAAGTGTTCGCGAATGTTCGGACGAATTGAAAGAGAAATTTTTAAACATTGATTAGCGTTAAGTTAAGATTGTTTCTGTTAGATCGTTTTAAGGGATTGCTGATTTTGTTAGCGTGCAATAATAGAACATTGTTTGATACTATGTAGTATGTCCCTAGGTTGTCTTTAAAACAGGAAAAACTTTTTTATTAATTTTTGAAAATAATACATTCTTCCTAATGCAAACTCTCAGATGCAAAAAAAGGCAACGGAGAAAATTTTGCTCAAATTTAAAGTGCTATATTTTTGTTATTTTTAGCCCTATTTTCATATGTTCATATTAGGGAATGCAATCCCGCAAATGCTGGATCCCTCTGAGATTCCGCGGGATCAAAGTTGTGGGATTTTACTGTGCGGGATCTGCGGGATCGACACTTTACTACTGGGCAACCGAATCGATCTCAATCAATATCAAACCGCTTCGTTCCGGGCCGATGCGTCGACGCTCGGAACCCGGGGGATTCCCCTTACGGCTTGGCCATTAAAAATAAGTGAAACAAACAGGTTAGTTGTTAGATTTCTTTCTGGCGTATGTGAAGTGAAGAGAAGCGTTTAACTAGTACTTGTGGACAATTTTGTCAAATAAACCGCCGTACATAATTATCGGGACAAGCAAAATTTTAGGGTAAATTTAAAGTTGAATATCTCTTGAACTAAAAAAGATTTTTGGATGCGGTTTGGACCAGGTTTTAGATGCATCTATTGTGATTAAGATGCTATGTGGTTTTCGAAAATATATTTAGTGAATTCTCGTATACAGGGTGTTTTATTATAAGACTGTGAAAATTTGGTTAAGAATCTTTTTTACCGCAAATTTACAATTTTTAAAAAATCGACATTTTTACCAAGTACGACTAATCTGTATTGAAATTAGAAAAAACAATTTGATTGGTTTTTTATTTTTGTTTTTGTTTTAAGGAAAATACGACGTTTTTTTCGAAAAATATGCATTTTTAATCATACGTATGGTCCTAAATGGTACAAAAAGCTTTGTACATTCTGCATATGCCAAAAAATTATTCATATAGAGTGTATCTAAAAGCAGATAACACAAGTTAAAAAAACTTCAATATCAGAATATTTTTATTTATAAAATAAGTAGATAAATTATCTATTATATTTTCCTAAAATATAATTTTACGGTCAGAACCACGATTCCTGAGCATTTTGTTTTTTGATTCATGTCAATACATGCTTTGGTTAATTTTTAAGAGTTTTTAATTTTTTCAATTATCATTACTTTTTGATGTAATTTTTTAATATGACGAGATGGTTTTTTTGTGACCATTGTCGTAACGTCCTATTACGCTGCATTGGATACTCTATACTAAATTAAAAAAGTGTTACTAACGATACAGTCCTGGTTTTAATAAACATTCATAACGCCAACAGAACTAACGATATTAAAGAAAACATCTATTATAATCAAGTATACAAACAAACAAAATGGTAAGAAATACCCTAATACTTTGCATTGCTTCTCTTGACTGCTATAACTGCCTGTATACGTCCGTTCATACTGTCATTGAAGCTGCATATATCATATTGCGTTATGCTTTCCCATTCTTCTTTAAGAACCAAGCGAAGTTTATTTAATGAAGCTGGTACCGCTTCGCGACCTCTAAACCTCTTACCAAGCATTTCCCAAACGTCGAACATGATGGGCAGTTCATAGTATTGTCATATTGAAAAATAACTTTAAGAAGAAATTATAATAATTGAAAAAATTGCAAATTGTTGGTGGCAAGTTCATTTTGCTCTTAAAAATTAACCAAGGGATGTAACAAAAAAACTATAATTTCAAAAAAATTCAACTATAATTTCATATTTTTTTAAAACTTTTTTTTGTAACACGGTATGGAAATTTGGAAAAGTATAAAAAAACGGGATTATTATATTAACCATTTTAGGACAAGCGAAAACTTTAATGAAGAATGCCTTTTTCTCAAAAAGTTAATAATAAAAAAGTTGTTCTGCTTGTAAAGACAATCCGGGACACACTGTATATACAAAAAGAGCTTTACAGTGTCGGTATTAATTACATGAATAAAGGAAACCGACATCACAGTACAGTGTGTTCCGTTTTAGTTGTTAATGAGGGTTATCTCATTTCATTATTTTTTATTAGGGTTCCGTACCCAAAGGGTAAAAACGAGAACCCTATTACTAAGACTTCGCTGTCCGTCCGTCCGTCTGTCACAAAGGTCTATATTATGAACCGTTATAGCTAGACAGTTGAAATTTTTACAAATAATGTATCTATGTTGCCGCTATAAGAACAAATACTAAAAACAGAATTAAATAAATGTTTATAAATAAAAAAGTACTTTCACTAAACATTATCTTTTAAGTAAGAATTTTACATAGAATCTTTCAAGTCCTTGGTGGCCTCGTGGTTAAAGCGGTTGGACTTTACGCTGCTATGACGTTGGAGTCGTAGTAAGGCAGGTTCGAATCCTAGTCGAGGCGACTTTTTTTTAATCGTTTTTTATAATTTTTACATATTTTTACATATTTATTATTGATTAATACAATTTTTAATAGTATTTCTTCATTTTTTTTTAAATTACTTATACGCGCATTCAAAATTTCAGCTAAATCGGAAAAAAAGTTTATAATAATATAGTGTCTAATGTCGTATAGATAATGAATGGTATGGATCCCATCGTGCGCGAGTCCGACTCGCACTTGATCAATTTTTAGTAAAGATAACATTTCTCTCTCTTAAATTATAGCATTTTCAGAATCATCCTGTATCATGGAAACGAATATGGGCCACGACAGTCTTGACATTTGTTTATGACATCTTTGGTTTCACAATAAAGCAGCTATGGTTTCTGTCTTTTCTCTTAATAATAAGCGATATAACCCTGAATTGCAACTAAAATCGAACACTCTGTACACCTGGCAATACTATTTCACTTCAACTTTATTAATGACAGTCGCTCGATAGTTTTTGACCTATTAAATAAAATTTCCAAAAAAATATCCACAAATTGTACTATATGATCGAAGAGAAAAAAAAACAAGTTGAAGTTGCTTTAGAAATTGCGATCGTTGACATTTTTATGAGTAAAATTATTGCAAAGGAGAATGTTATTTCTAAGGTAACTTGACGCCGTTTTTTTTTCGATCGTATAGTGTATAAGACACAATTCAATTATATTTCTTTAAAATAATAATCTGATGCCTTGTGTATATATCCTAGATTCATAGGTAAAATAATAATGAACATAAGTTTTATTTTTTGTACTATATTCGCACTGAATTATTGCTGTAATTTGGTACTAAATCGTATATAAAGTATGTTCGAAAAAAAACGGCGGTGATTTACCCTAGATTAAAAAGGATCGTATCTGTAATATTTGACTTTAATCAATGAATAATATTATTATTTGTTAATCTCTAATAATTGACGTTAGGGGTCTTCCCTACAGGAAATGATCATTTAAAAGGTCACTCTGACACCGATTTTTTTTTCGATCGAGTATCATTTAATGCAATATAGAAACTTTGTGAAATTGAAAACAGTATTGAATATTTTAGGTTTGTTATAAGAGGATGTATCTGACGTAATTTAATTAGAAAGTTATGGGATGGATACCTTTTAAAAACATTTCTTAGCGTTAAAAGTGATAGGTGTATTTGTACATTGTTTATATTATATTTTATAGATTATTTGTCTAAGAATAAAAATGATTATATATGATGATGTTTGTATTATTTCTACAGTCTAAAGCCCCGTCTATAGCTAACGTTTTACCTGTCAGTTGAAACGAATGACTGCCTTTACAGGGTGTTTCAAAAAACATGTGCCATCTCTCGTGGGGAGATTTTATGAAAATAAGATTTATTTTTCATATTAACATAGGTCCGATTCTGCTTTGTTTCGTAGCTACAGGGTGTTAATCTTAATATTTTTTCGATTTATTATAATTTTCTTCCAAGTACTTTTAGCGTTTCGAATGAAATTTAAGGGGGTGAAAGTTACTATAAATGCTACATATTTTAAAGCTAAAAAAGTGTTGATATATTCACAATATAAAATCATGTACGCCACTGACTTTTTTCTCTTAGCGAAATACTGTAAGCAGTTTAATGCAGATCAAAAGTTCTCTTTAAATTTTCTCGATTTCGGCCGCCTTAATAAGATAAAGGCAATTTTATTAATTTGCCTTGATCCAAGTCTAATAGCAACCTTTAAAAACAAATATCATTAACTTGCGAAAGTTTTAGATAAGTACTTCTTGATTCCTGCATCAAAAAATATGAAAAACAGTTCCTATTATTTTATTTTAAGCCTATGGTTCCTATAAACATGGGTATGGTAATGCATAGTTTTAGAGTTACAGGATGTTAAAACTTTTTAAAAATTAGGTTTTTTATAATTATCTTTAATACCATTATTTTTTTTTATTTGAAATTGCTGTAGGTTGGATCAATAGTAATAACAACTAATAGTAATAACATTTAATAATAAATTAAGTAAAACACCGTATGATCGAAAAAAAACGGCGTCCAGTTGGCTGGGAAATGAACATCATTCCACAGCCATCGCTGACGCCGTTTTTTCTCGATCATACGGTATATAATTTATTAACTTTGTTTTTATTTTAATTTTATTATTTGTGATTAATCAAATTGCGTTTATCTCAACAAGGAGGTCGAATTCGACAAAATATCAAGAGATAACTTTTGACGCAAAATCATAAAAATTAAAATATCCTTTGTCTGAGGGGTAGGCAACCTTAATAATATTTTGAAGATATACCCTGCTGGCAAGCAAAACCTTGGGTCGGCGTTTACATGTATAAGAGTGAATCGCTATGGTAATTTAGTAAGTCGGAGAGAGCAAAAATACGAAGTATTCATTATACAGGGTGAGTTTCCTACGATGTTCTCTATGGGTATCTCGGAAACTACTGGAGATAGAGAGTCGGTTAAATGGGGAAAGAATTGCAGTTTTGTGGGGTCATAAATATGCGCCTTTCAGATTTTTGAAAAAGTTCATGGCTTACTAGATATTTCGGAAAAAACAAATTTCGGCTATTTTACAAAATTGTCCCTAACTCCATTATAAGCTGTTTTAGACAAAAGTTTTCAGATAAAAGTTGTAGATAATCACATCCTTAATGAGACTGTGCCCTCCGTTTTCTTCTAAAGCCTGTCATTTTTGACATATGACACAAACATGTTTTTTAAATGGAAACCATAGTTGGCCATGACTTCATAAAAGCGCCATTTTTAAGCTT